TCCCCTCCCTCCCCTCCCTCCACTTCCCACTACTCCCTCCCCTCCCCCAGGAGCAAGAAACACATCCATCTGGACAAGTGGCACAAAGTGACCATTCGACGCTCTGGCCGGAGTGGACAGATGACCATCGATGGACACCCTCCCATCTCAGGGGAGGCAACGGTCAGTACCTCCCTCCCTCCCTACCTACCGTCCTCTTCCCTCCCTTTCTTCTCTCGGATTGTTACTTTCTAGAAGTTACTTCAAGGTCTTACCTTCTCTCTGTAGGATTACCAAAAGATCAGTTCAGGATTAATTTATTTTTTTAAAAATAAAACACGAGTAAATGCAAGAAATGTGTTCTCTTAGAAATGTTAATAAAAGCATTATGTTTAACCACGTGACATGTCTTATCAGCCTATAATGTTGGAAAATAATCTTTTTAAAAAAAATAATCTTGTATAGACAAAAATCAAAGTATGTGCTGTGTATAAACATACTTGGGAATTAATTTCCCATTCAGCAAGTGCAAAGAAAAGAAATATTGAGAGCTTGAGTCTGGAGACAAGACTGTTTTATTGATGAAAATGTTTTGGGGTTTTTTGTGGAACTGCCAAAAAATGTGGCTCATATCCATGGACTCTGAGTGGAATGGTATTTGATGAGTTGATATGAAGAATGTTTTTGGGTTTTTTTGTACGTTTAAGAGAGCTGACTGCTTCCTTTCCTTCTGTCTTTGTAAACATGGTTGATACCACTGGTTGCCATGGCAACATTTATTGACATTGTGTGAAGTCATTAAAGTGCCTGAGACTCAGAAACAAAAATATTTCTTTTGCTTTGTGTAATGTGGAGAGGACATTCAGACATCTTTGCTGGTTTTGGAAATTAAAGATAAAAGTCAGAGCAAAATTTTTACCATGTAGTTAAAGTTGAAATTTAGAGCAAAATGTTAACAAATTAAAGTTAAAAGACAAAGCAAAGTCTTAACAATTGAAGATAGAAGATAGAACCAAACCATTATGAGCATGTTACGATTACACTCTCTGCCCTGACTTCTAGATATATTTTATTACTATGAATTCCGTGGATCTGTAAATTGCTAAGTACAGAATAAGTGTTGCTTACCTCAATTTGTTTTCATAATGCACTTCATTTTTTAAATTTATTTATTTTTTTT